AAGCCCTCAGCCATTATTTGTTCAAATATTTCTTTTGCTCTGCTTATTTCTCTCCTCTTGGAATTCTAAAAGACAGTTTGGTGCTGTATCACATTCCTTGTATACTCTGGTTTATTTTTTTTTAACTCTTTTCCCCCTATGTTTTGATTTGGGTAACTTCTATTGACCTGTCAGTGTTTACCCATTCATTCTTCAGCTTTGTCAGGTTTACTAGTGAGTCTTTTAAGGTATTTTTCTTTCTATTAATACATTTTTATTTCTAGCATTTTAAACCCCTTCTTACAATTTGTATCTTTCTGCTTAAATTAAAGTGTTTCGTCTATTATTATTTTAGTAATAATAATTCCTTGTCTGACCATAAGAATTCCTTTATATGTTTTAATATTCTTATGTTTATCATCTTCTATGGCTTTTAATGGTTTCTGCCCTATGTTTTAAAAAGTGTATGGATTCTTTTTATTGCCTATGTCTTCTAAGATTTCAGTTTAGCTCTTTGCAGTGCAAACTCAATTGCATAATAAGTTCAGGAAAAGTCACTAATTTGCATAATCTGCTTTTTTTGGTTTTCGTAATGATGGAAGCAACATGCTTTCTAACTCTACAAATCTCCAAGCTGAAATTTGAAGACTAGACAGTCATTTTTGAAATCTATTTGGCAATTTCCAAGAAAGTTGAATACAGTTATTGTATGACTCAACAGTTTCACTCCTAGAATATTCTTAAAGTAAATGCAGACTTATACACACACAAATTCACATACACGTACACAAAAATTTGTATGAGAATTCATAATAGCTCAAATACTGTGGCTATCAAAAGAACAGTTATGAAATAATGATATATCGCCTAGTGGAATAATATAATTATTTTTGAAAACATAAATTACTATAATATTAATAACTTGATAGATCTGAAAAAATTGTTGAGTGAAAGAAGCCAGACACAAACAAATGTGATGTGTGTGGGGTTTTTTTAATGAAATTCAAAAATTGGCAAAAACTAAACTGTGGTGAGAAGTAAAAATAGTGCTTACTTCTGTGGCTTAGGAGCACCATTTATTGGAAAAGTGTGTGAAATTTTCTAGAGTGATGAACATACTCTGTATCTGGATTTTGTGTATGCATTTAACAATTATCAACTTCTCTACTCAAGATTTGTGCAGTATACTGAATGAAAACTACACTTCAATTTTTAAAAAATAAGTTTAACATCACTGGTTATTGGAGAGATGCAAAGGAAAACAATGCTGAGATTCCAC